ATACCTAAAATAAGTAATAGGAGAATTCGTTTCACAAGAGAAGAGACTTAATAATCTTTGACAAACGAGAAGGTTGTCGCAGCAGGAGCGAGGTGGTTTTCTGGAATTCGCAAATGAGAGTCATATCATTTACGGAATTTGGAATTTGAGAGGCACCCAAAGGGAAAGTGGAGAGACGAGCGGAACACCAGGTGGTTGTGCCGCAGCGGCGCGTTTATTCCATCGTTTTTTTTAGGCCTCGTCGGGGGTTGATTTTCGTTTTTCTAAAATTAGCAGTCGCACCTTGAATCGCGTATATATTTCATCGCATCTGAATATTCATCTGGGATCGAGAGGGTGACCGTCTACGAAGGATACGATAAGTAAACGCACCCCCGCGCACGATACGGGGGAGGGGCAGGAGGGCTGTTTGTGCGTTGTGATACTCGGAATCGATAAAATCGATAGATACACGCGGCTGCTTCTCTCACGCTCGCGTTTGGATGAGCTATAAGCGTCGATCAACATCGGAGTGTGTACTAATTTGATTGTATGTCGCCTGGCGCGATGTCGACCGACTCCGGCATTACGTATTCCCGGCGATGTGGAGCAAAATGAATGGAGCAGTCGAGTCGAGAAGCGGAGAACGGAGAAAAGGGTCGAATAATTCGTTAAAAATTTAAAAGAGCGAAAAGTATCCAGCTGTCATGATCTCACGGCAATGAGAAAGGGGAGGTTTTACTTCTAAGTGTCCAATCTTCTACTTTCTTCGGATAAATTTTTTAAACTACATTAATTTAATTTTAAAATCTCTGGGAAGCGAATATCAGGATTAACATCAAAATATTTTATACTAAGAATCTAAAAGCGAGAGATCACGATTGAGAAGAAGGATGCTTCTTTAAATTGCTTAATAAATATTTTTTTATTATTTCTATAAAAAATTTTATTTTTCTAAATTATATCGAGTTAATTAAAGTAACGATAATTGAAAACGAGCGTTAAAAATAAAAATAAAAAATAAAAAAGAATAAAAACATTGCAAACATTGATGATGAACAATTATTACTGTGATCGGTCGTGTTCTTGTGGGCGTCGCAAGAAAAAAAAGAATTCCTCATCCAAACGCGGCTCTACTTAAACGAAATACGTGTGTCGTGCGTACACATCTACCTCGATAATTCCTTGATACATATAAATGATTGTCCGTGATTGTCTGTGATTGCACGTAGAATAATCACGCTTCGATATCTCGCTGTTTCGTGTATACCTGTCTGAAAGAATGCGGAGAAAAGGGGTAAGAGGGAGAAGAGAGGCCTCGATGTCTCCTGGCACCGTCTTATTACTTTCTCCAAGTGCGTCGGGGAGTGCTTAACGTTAAGGACACTTAACTTTGTATAATATCTTACGCTATTAGTTAGAATAGTAATACACGAACGAATGTTCTTTTTTTTTTTTTCTTTTAAGTTTTGGAATCATAGATCATCGCAGGAATGCGAATCATAGACCGAGATCGAGCAAATTTGCAAATTCGAACTCGACGAGTCTGATTTTCCGATCGCGAAGACGGGTGGAAGAAGTAATTTGTTGTCGAGTATTTGAGAAGCAAATCCCTTCCTCAGTTCGGATGAGCTCGGACGAGGAGGCGTTTTTATTTCTCGCTGTTGAATCCACGGCAATGGAGAATCCATGGCAACGGCGAATATTAGGAATCTGCCTGGTAAGTCGATAGAATATTCTTAACGCGAAATTGAAACCCCGTGTGTTTTCCCGCTATCGTGTGCTTTCCGGCTACGCTTATCTGTTGGGATATCAATATGTTTATCCGACGCATTCTCATCTCGATGTCCGCGCGCGCGTGAAAATTGATCGAAAATTCTTACCCGAATGCAGAATGACGAATAACGTAAGGACTCGCGTACAATAGAGGAAATATCAGGAACAAAACTACTAGATATTAAATTTTGATAAATAAATATTGGAAATAAAAATTAAACGTAACACAAACAAGTAATAAACACAAATAAATATAAGATATGTGTGTTTCATTTTTATTCCTAATTTTGATTATGAAAATTTATTGCTGTTCCTTATATTTCATTATGCACACGACCTAATGCTCATGAAGACAGTGAAACAAACACGAATTTTTCGAAATTACACAACACAACGATACATTCCTCGTAATCTGACGGGGCCTTTTTATCCTCATTTAACGAAACATTAGTTAAAATTTGAATACGAGTTATCGAGTTCGATGTTTCATCATCTTTGGCTGAACTTTCTGCACTTTGCATCTCACTCCTTCATTTCCTCGACGTTTAAAATTAGCGTCGGACTATGTTCGTACTACTCATGATACGAGATTTGAAATCTATTTTTTTTTTTTTTTTAATAGAGCTTCTCATCGTTCTTTTCTTATAAATTACAAATTATAGTCTGGCGTTTAGTTTGATATGTCACTTCGAAAGCCTGAACTATTTCGCATTTCGAAAAAAATATAATATGATTATTCTTCTACTTACGACGGGATTATGTTCCGATACTTCGATAGTAAATTGAATTAATTGATCGATATAACAACGTGGCATTAAAAACGTCATTGCCGCTATATTTATTTAACATTTAAGCTGACATATATATGTATTATTGATATTATTCTATATAAATAAAACATTATTCATGTAAAATAATTATTTTATAATCAAAAATAATTATCAGGCGCAATAATGGCATTGATGTGCAAATCCGATTCGCAAGTCCGAAAATGCGTAAATAGTCGTAAGTAGAAGGATATTCGTAGATACTTCTTTTTTTTTAATTTTTATTAAAAAAACTCCCGTTTCACTAAAGTGATCGCGGAAATGATACGGTTGAGCCTTCAAAATATAATCTGAATACACGTCCCCTCTACTATTCCTTAAAACGCGATGTCTCGAAAGATACAAAATCGAAAATTAAGTCGAAATTGGAAAACAAAGACAAAAATGCGCAAAGAGACGCAATGCAAGAGTTATCTGAGAATGAAACACGTCCGTTCTGTACAACAGTCCGAAAACGACTTACTCGTAGATATCAGTATCTTGTGTTTACTTGTGTGTACCCTATGTTTACGTTTGCTTTTGGGGAGGGGATAGCTCGCTCGCTTATGCGAGCAAGGATGTATATCTGTTTACGTTATGGTTACGGCAGTCGCGAACCAAATCATCGATCGTTTTATATAATATCCATTTTGCGCATTGGTACGATGTGAGTGAGACATTTATTACTTCGGCCACGATATCATTCTTCGACGGCCTACTAAATTTGATGGACATTACGTTGACATGAGGATTCAAAATACGCTAACTGCACTGAGCTTGCACGGAACTTGAGAGCTTGGCTCAGATGATCGTGAGAATATCGAACCCTTCTGACAGGACGCAAGAAAGTAAGTAATCATGAAGACTTTGATAATTTTTCGAAGAGATAAAAATACTTTTTTATAAAAGAGAAAGAAAAAGAGATATAAAAAGGTATATATACATGTATGCAGAAATGGTCGATTATCAATAACATAGAGATATTTTAA